ATGACGTCCATCATCTGTCTTCTCTGGATGAAGGTTGCCTCATTCTTTCATGCCCTGCAAGTCCTGACGTGCTTCAAGTGAATCCTTTGGCTTCTCGTACACACCCATGAATCCTAACAGGTTCACACAAAGATTCTTTATCAGGTGCATCACGTCGATTGCGTTGCGGATCTCTAGGACTTGCCAATAGAGTAGCTCCCAAAAGATGGACTTCTTCTTCCACATGGGTGCATGCCCCTTAGCATCTTTGGGAACAGATTCGCTGCCTTGTCCCTTTCCAAATACTACTTTCACATCCTTGACCATTGCGAGTACATCTTCCCCGGTTCGGTTATGAGGCTTCTTCCGGTGGTCTGGCTTACCTTTAAAATGCTTACCTTTCTTTCTTACTTGGTGATTCAAAGGAAGGAATCGACGATGGCCAAGGTACACGACCTTTCAACATCTTTTCAAATATATATTGTCAAGGTCATCAAAACAATGTGTGCATGCATTATATCCTTTGTTTGTCTGACCTGAAAGATTACTTAAAGCAGGTCAATCGTTGATTGTTACGAACAACATTGCTCGTAGGTCAAAGTGTTCTTGTTTGTACTCATCCCAGACACGTACACCTGGTTTGTTCCATAAAACTAGAAGTTCTTCAACTAATGGCTTCATATAGACATCAATGTCGTTGCCAGGTTGCTTCGGACCTTGGATGAGGATCGACATCATAATGAACTTTCGCTTCATGCATAACCATGGAGGAAGGTTGTAGATACATAGAGTAACTGGCCAAATGCTATGACTAGTGCTCTGCTCCCCAAAAGGATTCATACCATCTGTACTTAAGGCGAACCTTAAGTTTCTAGCCTCATTTGCAAACTCTGGAAATTCCCTGTCTATCGCTCTCCACTGGGACCCATCAGCTGGGTGTCTCAGCATATTGTCTACCTTACGGTCTTCTTTATGCCACCGCAACAACTTTGCATGGTCTTTATTTCTGAACAAACGTTTTAAGCGTGGTATTATAGGAGCATACCACATAACCTTGGCAGGGATTTTCTTTCTAGGACGTTGTTCACCCTCGACGTCACCAGGATCATCGCACCTGATCTTATACCGCGATGCTTTACATACCGGGCATTCATCCAAATTCTCGTATTCATTGCCATGGTAGAGGATGCAGTCATTAGGACATGCATGTATCTTCTGGATTTTTAATCCCAATGGACAGACAACCTTTTTTGCTTCGTACGTAGTGGTGGGCAATTCATTTGGCTTCGGAAGCATCTTCTTTATGAGGTTCAATAAATTCCCAAATGCCTTGTCGGATATACCATTATTTGCCTTCCACTGTAGCAATTCCAGTGTTGTACCCAGCTTTTTTTGCCCCTCTTTGGCCGTCGGGTATAGTAACTTCCTATGATCCTCAAGCATGCGCTCGAACTTAACTTTCTCTTTTTCACTTTCCAATTCTTGTTTTGCATCACGAATGGCATCGCCAAGAGCATCACCGAGATCATCTTTTACCGCTACCTCTTCTTCATCTCCCCCCATTGTAGTATCATCAAAGGCACCATACTGAGCAATAATGTCATCAATGTCTAAATCTTCTCCTTCACCTTCTTTCATCATTACCCCGCTTTCTCCATGCTTAGTCCAACATATATAGTTTGACATGAAACCTGACTTAAGCAAATGTGAATGAAGACTCATTGAGCTTGAATATTCCTTTAAATTCTTACATAGGGCACATGGACAGCACATGAAACCATCCCGCTTATTTGCCTCGGCCACACCTAAGAAATAGTGCAAGCCCTCAATAAAGTCTTGGGAGCGGCGATCGGCATTGTACATCCAATGGCGTGACATAATCTGTATTACACGACAAATTATTAAAACCTTAAACATAATTAAGTATTTTATTACACAACATAAATGACACACACACACGGTTGATTAATTAACTAAGCCTGGCTACAACGTAAACAATCCCAACTATCACTAAACAAACTAAAACTACAATGCACTTCAGGAACATAATTATTTCGTGATCGTGCGTAACTAAAAAGATAAATCATTCTTCCGTTGAATATCAATAAGCTTCTCCCATTGCTCACTCACTAACTCATCATCAGCAACTCGCTACCTCAAGCGCACCCAAATTCTCGCACGATGTAGCATAATCTTCCTCCCAGTACCAACCATCGCATCCATTGCCCTCCCACTAAAATTAAAACAAAAAAATATTTAGTCAAAAATATTCAAGAAAAGCAGGTCAATTAGCCATAAATAAAAAATGCGTAAGAAACTCACATCGCGATCCGGGCACTTGTATAAAACACGACCCTTGTTGGGTCCCTGTCTCTTGACTCGGTACTCCATCACAATTTTCTGCTTACACTTGCCGCAGATAATGAGAGGGAGTTCTGGCCTCAGTCGTTTCGCAACCGAACGAGAGGCCGAGGATCCGGTACCAGTTGTCATCTACTTTCTATACTTATTTTTGCAAACTAGTGTAAATTTCATATTTTCTAAAATGATATATTTAACCTAAACTAGTACGGATTTCACATGTTTCAATAAATAACCATCCGTACTAGTTGACCTTGCTTACGTGATCATCTCGCGAGCATTTCTCCACCGGACGACACCGTACTTGGCCAAGGAAGAGCTCCGATTCTACGAGAAAGGGAACACGGTCTTCCACGACCGTTGCCGCTCTCCCTCGTAGAATTAAAGCTCCTCCTTGACGTCCGTTACCGCTCGGCAGAGAACATGCTCGCCGAGATGAACACGGTCCGCAAGTTCAATTAGTACGGATTTTCTACAATTTTCTAACAATTTTCTAAGTTTTTCATTTCATGAAAAAATTAATTCTAAGATCACATAAGCCACCGGAGACGAGGATGGCGCGTGCTCCAGCGAGGACGAGCGAGGCGTGATTTTGATGAACTAATTTAACTTTTATTTATCCAAACATATATGCAAATCATCATGTGATTTTGAGCTAAAAATGACATATAAAATCATAATAAAGTCCAACATATAAAGTTACACTTGCATCTACATCGCAAAATGAGATAAGCTACTGACAAAACATAAGAGGATTAAGTTTCTTACCTCCAAAATCGAAGAGCAACACCAATGGAGGGGGAGAGAGCAAGAACAACAGCAAGCTGAAGAACAGAGGCAGTGAGTTTGAATGCAATGGCTCGTGCTCGGGGAGGAAAAAATAAGCTGAATTATAGGAAGGGATAATTAGTCCCGGTTAGGGGTACAAACCGGGACTAAAGATTAATCTTTATTCCCGGGGCATCACCCAAACCGGGATTAAAGGTAAACCTTTAGTCCTGGTTGGTAATATCAGCCGGGACTAAAGATCCTTGCCCCGCGGAGGACCGTTGGGCAGGGACCTTTAGTCCCGGTTGGTATTACCAACCGGGACTAAAGGGTCCTTTAGTCCCGGAGGCAAAAAATGCCGAGGCTAATGCCAAATTGGGACATCGTTCTAAAGTCTATTCTCTAGTAGTGTTCATCTCTCTTCCTATGGCGGTATAATCACCTTACTCAATCTATTATATTTACATTTGATATATAGTTGTGTAGCAAGCTCTTTAGTGTAGCTTGTTTGAGAGCTTTTAGTGAGTAGCGACATAGCCATTGTTTGATCTAGAGATATTAATTAACTAGAATTATTGGGATAGGTGGCTTACAACCCTTTGTAGAGTTAGAGCAAAAAGATTCGCTTTCTAATTGACTAATTAGTTGCTCTAAGGTTTTGTAGAAAGTTTTATTAGACTATTCATCCCCCTCTAGCCATTTACGACCTTTCAGCCACTTCCACCACCACCCCTCCCTACTGGACAAAATCAAAGCCTTAACACCCCCGCGCCTCATCCATCACTTTTATCGACAGATTGAGGAGGCTAGTCGAAACGTAGGTTCGCCCGTCGTCCACTCGATTGTCGGAGCTCACCCTCGTTGGCTTGCATATCATCCCCGTTCGGGGTTGTCGCATGTAAGCCCTCCCCAGCTGCATCTAACTTCATGCCCTGTCGGCCTCCAACTACCCAAGCTCGGCCTCCCCTATGCATCAACCTCAGTTCTCGGTCCATTGGAGCTTGACCTTTCCTGCCATCATCCCTGTCTACAGCGCCTAGGCACCCTCCTTAGTGGCCCTCTATATGAGCTCAGCCTCCCTGTTCCTTGGCCAGCCTAAGCTCGGCCTCCCTAGCATTGTCTCGTCTTAGCTCAACCTCCCCGACACCTTCTTGCCTGAGCCCGACAGCTATGGGTGGGGGAGGGGATGAAGATATGGGATAAAAAAAAGAAAAAAAATATATGATTGATAAATGGGTCCCACAAAAGTAGGAGCCACAATTTAGACCCTTGGAGTTGAGCCCAGAAAACAGGACACCAAAAAGTATAAGCGTGGCCTAAATTAAAAGTAGAGGCTTTAATTCAGAGCTACTCGCTGAAGTTGTTTATGAGTCATTGTACTGTACATGTCTCTTTTAAAAACTTGAGGCCATTTAATAAAAAATAAATGAGCGAGTGAACGTTTGCATATGGGCGTTCCTGTATTGCACAACATCCACGGGGAGAAAACACAAACCGAACTACTCTTACAATAAAGTAGAAATAATTTAACCATCACAAAACTAAAATAACTCCAACTTTTTTATATATATCAAACATGGTTATTATTACATGGGATCAACAACTAGCTCAGGAGGGATAGAAGGGAGAAGGAAGTAGATGGATGCGAGAGGCTGACAAACACGGCAATGGTGAGACTGATCCCGCGCATAGCGAGAAAGAAGGAAGGGGGAGGTGCGGGGAGGATGTAGACGGAGAGGGAGGGCCTTACAAGGTCAAGAAGAGGCCTTACAAGGTCAAGAACGTTAATTCTGGCACGAGAAACCAGAAAACGGAGGTACGAGTCAACCTCTAGTGAAGAGAGGCCTGGGAGGTTTTGACAAAAAGAAAAGCTCAATCGGGATAACACCAGTTCATAGGCTAGGATGGTGTGACCACGCTAGCTTGTGCTTGTAGTCGGGTCGATGTGAAGCTTCGGTGGTAGTTTTGTTGGTGTGGAAGGCGAAGGTCGCCATTTTGTACTGATGGTCGTGGATTGAAACCATGTCGAACACTTCTGCCATCTTGTTATCCTAGAAATAAAGATCAATGTTAAATTCAAAGCAGTTATTGGATATATATGAACTGTGTTTCTTCTCTATCTTTCCACTCTTAATCGAATTATACTAATCAACACGCTTACAATGATGCTGTTATTAGCAGTGTAAGATCTAGGGTTTTCGTCGTCCACAGGGTCATCATCATTCGCCATGTTGGCCAGCTGGCTTGGGATCAGATATCTGCAGAAAGGCAAGGAAAACACTAGTTTCCAAACAACGAGATACATGTCAGAAGTAAGGAATCAGAGAGAAAGTAATAAGGACTAAGAGTGCCTACTGCCTAGGTAGCAGCTCGCTTGAGAACTCACAGATAGCTTAGAGAGCCATGTACAAATATGGAGAGTAAGTTAAATATGAGAAGGATAGAGATAGAGAGCAGTAGTATGCAGTGCAAAAGTGTTCAAGCTGCAGGGAAGAATTGAAAGAAACAAGTTTTGGGGAGGAACATGCATGCATGGGAACGGAAATGAAGATCACCTGCTTTTGATCGAGCTGATGACCGGCCGGATAGATATTTTAGGGATTCTGATCCCAGCAGAAAGATCTTGCTTGGTAAGCTGCTAGCAGTTTTATCAGCGGCACAGAAGGAGAAGCCTATCCTCTACTCTTCATCCCTTCAGATTCTAGCTATATTGTTGCTCCTCATCACATCAGTGACCTGGATGCACATTTATTTATACTCCAAACAAGGAGTAGTGGGATATCTGATACTGCGCTGGTATGGAGTGCCTCCTTGAACTGGGAGCAACTAACGGACAAGTGGGCAGTGGCTCCCAAGTCCCAAACCTTTTAGCCTGGCTCTCACATGAGGAGGCCAGCACCAGGAGGAGAATCTCTGTCCTTTTTCCTCCGCTCTCCTTTTGTCTTGATTGAGTTCAAAATGGACGTTACTGATCAGTTGATAGTAACAAAAGAATTTAGATCGAGATCGAGTATTTATGTGTGTGTACATGAGAGAGAGAGACGGCAAGGTCAGATATATAGATGAAACATGTGTGTCTATAAAGATAAAAGATAGTAGATGATACTCTGAATCCATCTGATATACAAATGCAGTGTTTATATCAAGAGCGAAAGAGGTTGAGGTTACATTGATTAAGATATGTGCAATGTTCTTGAAATTAGTAATTAAAGTGCACGGCGTTAGAAGTCAGATCTACACGAACTCTGATGACATCGAGCCGAAACCTGGTGTAGTAAAATACCCGTCGAACTGGGAGTGCTCCAAACTCTGAAGCCATATGATAGATGGCATGCACGTACGTCGAGGACGGAACTCCCAATTTCTAGGTAGCGCGATAGAGCTGAAGCGGGCGTCGTCGTCGTTGTCTTCATGCGGATCCAACTCGGACTGCCCATGCTGAAGAAGGTATACTGATCGTGCATGGCGCCTCTCTCTCTCTCATGGGATGCTGGGACATGGGGAATGGGAGAGCATGCATGTAGATGTAGTCTTCAAGAAGACGACACCATGCATTCAGGAGCTAGCAATGGTCAGTCAGACACGTCGCAGCCATACCTGTTAAACAACATTTTACATTCATGGCTACCTATAATTCCTCTGAATCGCTCGCTGATCAGCAGTTCAGCGCTGTGCATTTATATTGCCAGTCAGTCATCCCCTACCACCCGAAACAAAGCAGCAAAATTCAGAGAGGTGCATGTGTGTGTGCTCTGTATCTCTGCTGTCTGCATCAGCTGCATGCATGCTTCGTTTGCATTAGCTGTCTCACTCTCACCTAGTCACCCGGCCTGCAGCTGTCTTTCTGCCTGCCTGTCTGTCTGAGCAGCCACAACATGAGCCAGCCAGCCATGCGTTCTCTGAACATGCGGCGTGCGTGGCTAGCTGCCGAATGCTGATGAGTGAACTGACTCCTCCTACACTGATCAGTGATGTGCAAGCTGTGCCTGTGCTCCATGTGATCGATCTATCGGTGGTGGTGGAATTCAAGGCCCTAGTGATGCAGACGATGACATTTCTTCACGGCCGGCCATTGGAGCCTTTATTAGTTCCATGCATGCATGATGGCTGCTAGCTAGGGTCGCTTGTCAAGTCGGCTTGCTGCTGAAGAACAGCATATATACTGGCTGTGATTTACCACGGATAATATATACTACTACAAACTAGATCGCTTGCCCTTCGTAAGAGTATAATTATCATATATACTACATACTATACTGCTTGCTCTTGATAGGAGTGTAGTTAAAAAAGTAAGAAAATGGTGCCCTGGATAGAATGAATGAATAATGAATGAATCCCATACTTTGATTTTTTTTTGGGTGTATCTCAGGCACAGGTGACTAACCGGCTGCATATCCATATATCAGGCGACGGTGAGAGCCGTTGGATCGTAATCCGACGGTGCAGCAATCAGTCTTCAACCTCTCCTCCCAACCCTCTTCTTCCCCATGTCTTCTCGACCCACTCGCCCCGCCTGGTCCACTTCATCGGTTCTTCCTCGTCGGCGGCCACACTCTCCTCCTCCTCGTCGCCCCCGCCGCCGCCCACCATCCCGCCACGAGCGCTGGGTTTGCTAAAGCTCCACCGAACCCTAGCGCCTGAGGCAGCCGCCTTCTTCCCCTCCCACTTCGGCCATGGCGTCCCCCGTCCCTCCCTGGCCCGGCCGGCACCGCCGCCGCCAGGGCCCCTAAGCCGCCCGGCCTCCTTCCCCACCGCCTGGCCGGCCTGCCTACCCCTGGCCGGGCCCTTCTATGTTTGCCGGAGTTGGGGAAGAAGGGGGTGGGCGATGCGCGGGTGGGGTGCGGGTGCGACCGCCGAGGAGGTCGCCGGAGATGAGAGAGAGAGAGAGAGAGAGAGAGAGGGCACAGGTGGGCTAGAGCGGGAGCAGGCACGAAGACAGGTGACTGACAGAAAGTCGATTTATCAGGCGACTGCAAGGGAGTACTTCGTTTTTGTTTTGGCCACCAGAATTGAGAGACGGTTTGCTTGGTATTTGGTTTGGCCTAGTCAAAACTCAGCCATACTAACTTTCTTGGAGAGTTAAAGCATCTCAAGTTTTACCAAAATTATAGAAAGAATTACAAAGATTTATGACATCAAATAAGTATCCAATGAAAATATAATTGATGGAGGATCTGATGATATTTATTTGATATCATAAAATCTTATTATTTTATTATATAAATTTAGTCAAACTTGAGATATTTTGACTCTCTAAAAAAGTTAGAATGACTTATAATTTGGGACGGAGGAAGTATTTTTGAAAATATATTGTGCTGGACGGAAAATGTAAAAGAAGATGAAGTGCGTAAATAAGACATGAAGAGGCCTAGACAACTTACATCGACCAGCCCAAAATGCAAATTTGGCCCATTATCTCCCACAGGGACCAAAATAACCCTCTACGTCGGACTGGACTCACGGCCGCAAAGCCAGCCAATTGTCCCCTCCGCGGCTTCCAAGCGCAAGTGTGCGTGAGAGACGGACGGTGCTGCAGGCACATTCACTGGTTGAGCTGGGAGTGTCTCACGTATCCGAAGGTGCTAGGAGGGATGTGATTCCGTGACTTGGGGAATTTCAACAAAGCGATGCTCGGAAAACAGGGTTGGCGTTTGATGATTAATCCGGGAATCCGGGAAGTTTATGTGCTAGAGTCCTTAAAGGAAGGTACTACCATGACGGTGATTTCCTAACTAGCACAAGGAAGAAGCCCTCCAGCCGTACCTGGCGGGCGATACTTGCTGGCCGGGAGGTTTTAGCCCAGTGGCTTATTAAGAGAATTGGAGATGGGATATCGACAAGCATTTGGCACGATCGGTGGATTCCAAACCATTTTGGGGCTAAACCTCTTAAGCTAGAGGATGATTAGCATGTGTCAATGGTGTCCGACTTCCTTTTGGCTGATGGACAGTGGGATGAGGACGTTATCAAACAGAGTTTTATCCCGGTGGATGCAGCAGCGATTCTGTACACTCCGGGGCCTGTTTGGTAGAGCTCTGTCTGATTCTAATTCTCTAAGGAAGCTGGTTCTATAAGAGAAGTGATTTTGTGGCTGAAAGTGATTCTCTTTGATTCTTTAGCATAAACCCTTGAAGTCATGACGGAGAATCACTTCACAGAATCAGGAGAAGCTACTTTTTTCAGCTCTTAGTCTCCTAGTTCATTTCAGAGAATCACTTTACAGAATCAGCAGAAAATCACATTTCTCTGAAAAAATATTTGGCAGAGCTGCTGCTGAATTCAGTAAAGAATCAGCTCTGGGAGCTCTATCAAACTGGGCCTAGCACGGCCTCGGTATGAAGATGTGTGGGCTTAGGAGCCTAAAAAACACAGAGTTTATTGCGTCATGTCATCCTACAGGTTAATCGACACAAGGAGAATTAGAGACAATGGTGTGAATGTGGCGAGTGTCTCTAAGAACGAGGTTTGGAAGAAAATTTGGAGGCTGAAAGTCCCCCCAAAAATTCGAGTATTGTGGTGGAGAGTTATCCATGAGTTCCTCCCGGCTCGACAAATCCTACACCATAGACATGTAGAGCCAATTGTGAATTGTGATGTCTGTGGAGCTGATGGGGAATCGATAAGACATGTGCTATCTGAGTGCACGGTGGCTCGAGCGTTCTGGAATCAAGCCAAGGACATACGGTGTCAAACTCCCGGCCGACACTCCATCCCGTCACTTGGGCGTGGGACCTGCTGTGTGGGAAGGCCGGCTCTGAACGAGACCAGTCAATTATCATCATCGGTTTGTATTCGTTGTGGATGCAGAGAAACAAGAGGAGACATGGGGAGCAGCCTATGACGATCAGAGGGGCAGTTCAGTGGGCAGCGAATATGGCTTTCGACCTTTAGCAGCTCACGCAACCTCAGAGGAGGGTTCCGACGGGGCAAGAGCGTGGTGGCGCCACATCGGGAGATAGCGAGGCAGGGGCAGACCGTGAGGTTGAGGTGGAAGGGCGTGGTGGAGGCAGCAACGGGGCAAGGGCATTGCGACGGTGGGATGTTGCGACGGTAGGGGAGGTGAAGAAGGAATGGAGGCCCGTGCCCGTGAGCAGGGGTGCGCAGAGCTATGGTGCTTGTCAACGTCAGTGGGATGGAGCCATTGAGGTGGCGTAGAACCGGGAGGAAGACGAGCAGCGACGGATTGAGGAGGACGAGTGGCGGCGGACCGAGGTAGACGAGTTAGGGGTA